CGGGGCTGCACATAGGAGCCAGGGGCTGTCAGCAGATCCCCTGTGGGGTGGGCGGGGCTGCACACAGGTGCCTGGGGCCAGCGGGTCTCCTGTGGGGTGGGCGGGGCTGCATACAGGTGCCTGGGGCTGTCAGCAGATTCCCTGTGGGGTGGGCGGGGCTGCATACAGGTGCCTGGGGCTGTCAGCAGATTCCCTGTGGGGTGGGCGGGGCTGCACACAGGTGCCTGGGGCTGCCAGCGGGTTCCCTGTGGGGGTGGGCTGTGGGCGTGTCCCCGGGGCCACTGCTGCATTTGCCTTGGTGCCCGCCCTCCCCTTCACCTGCCCCCCGCTTGTTTTTTCTGTCCGCTCAGTTAGAAGATGAAGCTCTGAAGCACCTTCAGAACTACTGCCCCGAGCTCGTGAGCCTCAACTTGCAGTCGTGCTCAGTGAGTGCCGCGTCCCGCCGCCGCTCCCTCCCACGGGAGCCAATACCGAGTATCCCTCCCGCGGGAGCCAATACCGAGTATCCCTCCCGCGGGAGCCAATACCGAGTATCCCTCCCGCGGGAGCCCAATACCGAGTATCCCTCCCGCGGGAGCCCACGGGCGCCAGGTCCCACCACGCGCTCCCTCCCACGGGAGCCCACGGGCGCCGGGTCCCACCGCGCGCTCCCTCCCACGGGAGCCCACGGGCGCCGGGTCCCACCGCGCTCACGTCCTACGGCGTGCTCCCTCCTGCAGGAGCCCACGGCCCCTCGCAGCAGAGGCGATGGGCAAGCGGCCACGTGGCCACACCGCGGCTTCTCGTCCGGGCTCCGCAGGTGGCTCCCAGTTTGCCAGGAATGAGGGCAGCATTGGCAACCACAGAATGCTCGCGCTCAGGGCAAAGCCCCGGCCCTCCCCGAGCACCATGCCCGGCAGCTCCTGAGGTTCCGAGCAGCGGGCGGGCGGGCGTGGGGAGAGCGGCACCAGCGGGCGGGCGGGCGTGGGGAGAGCGGCACCGTGCACGCCAGCATCCCCGCGTCTCTGTGGATGGAAGGGAGTAAGCGCCCTGAGAAGTAAGGGGCGTGTGCAGAGCGTGTGGGGTCTGCTGGCGCCAGCCTGGGAGGAGGCGCTGGGCCTTCCTCGCTGCCTGGAGGGCGACAGCCGGTCCCAGCTCCCCAGGGAGGAGCCGTAGGTCTGCAGAGTCCCTGATGGTGGCAGGAGACAGAATCTGTCACCTTGTGGGCGAATCTGGATCTTCGGCTCCTGGACTGTTCACTGGGCGCCCGGCTCGCAGTGGAGTGCGCTGCAGATCGCAAGTTCATTTTAAATAATGTACTGGGTTTTAATTTTCTCCAAGGCATTTGGGGAACTGTTATAGGAATACACTAGTGTGATTTGTGTGGTGGATAGCTGCATCAGACCTTATCATGTCACGTAGCTAGGCACATCTCATTAGCTTTTTATTGAATCTGATTTTTTTATCACGAGTTTATAAATTTTCCTAAAACAAACCCATGAAGTCTGTTTTCTCTAGGAGAGGGAAGAGGAGTGTTAGCTCTGTCCCCCGTGACTAAGCTACAGTGCTGGCAGGCGACGCAGACCAGGCACGAGCAGCGCCTGCCTCTCCCTCTTACTTGGGTGATGCCAGCACAGCGGAGCCGGGAGCCGCCCGTGCTGCTGCCGCCTCCCCGCCTCCCCTGACGGCAGCTCCCATGTCCCCTGGTCTGTTTCCCCAGCGCATCACCGACGAGGGCGTGGTGCAGATGTGCAGGGGCTGCCACCGGCTGCAGGCCCTCTGCCTCTCAGGCTGCAGCCACCTCACCGATGCCTCCCTCACCGCCCTGGGCCTGAACTGCCCGCGACTGCAGTGAGTACCACGCGCTTCCTTGCTTCGCGGCCCAGAGGTGGGCTGGGCTGGGCCACGCACCAGGCACCGTGCGGGCGACACGGGCAGTGCGGGAGTAGGCAGCGGCTGTCTGACGCCGGCCTGCGGCGAGACCGCGCGTAGGGGCCGTCTGGCACCAGGGACCCCAAGCCTGTGCTGCCCACCTGTTGTTACTGCTTGGGGAAGCGGAGCGCTCTGACAGCCCCACGTCCGCAAGTCGCCAGGGCCGCCTCTGATCTGCCGCTAAATGCACAGAACGAGGGAGAGAGTGTGGTTACCTCCTGGTGACTGTCTCCCCCGCTGGAGCAAATGTTTGGTTTGGACAAATAATTTACTTTTTGATTCACAAGGTGTAATGCAGCATTTTTGTTACTCACTGTGAATATTCAAACTTTTAAAAAATATTTATTTATTTTGAAAGGTAGAGTTAGAGAGAGGGAGAGACAAGACAGGTCTTCCATCTGCTGGTTCACTCCCCCAAATGGCCCCAACAGCCAGAGCTGTGCCGATCCGAAGCCAGGAGCTTCTTCCGGGTCTCCCACACAGGTGCAGGGGCCCAGGGACTTGGGCCATCTGCTGCTTTCCCAGTCGCATTAGGAGAGAGCTGGATCAGAAGTGGAGCAGCCAGGACTGGAACCAGCACCCACATGGGATGCTGGCACTGCAGGCGGCGGCTTTACTCGCTGTGCCACAGCACTGGTACCTCAAACTTTAATGATAGAAAAATGCCAAAGCACAGCACGGTCAGCATCAGCTGAGCTCACCCAAGTCCTGGGCCCTGGGCCAGGCCCCCACCCCCTTTTTTTATTTGACAGGCAGAGTTAGAGACAGAGAGAGGTCTTCCTTACGTTGGTTCACCTCCCAAATGGCCACTATGGGCAGAGCTACGCCGATCCAAAGCCAAGAGCCAGGTGCTTCTCCTGGTCACCCACTCAGGTGCAGGGCCCAAGCACTTGGGCCATCCTCCACTGCACTCCCTGGCCACAGCAGAGAGCTGGCCTGGAAGAGGGGCAACCGGGACAGAATCTGGTGCCTCGACCGGGACTAGAACCCAGGGAACTGGTGCTGCAGGCGGAGGATTAGGATTAGCCTAGTGAGCTGAGGCGCTGGCGCGAGGCCCGTTTTTAAGCACGTCTCTCGGGGGTAGGTTCCCGTACCCTCTGATCTGCAGAGGAGAAACGGTATAGAGGCAGAAGTAGAATTTGAAGAACAAGCATTGTTAATGTCTGTACAGGATTTATTATACTTTTATTATTTATCATTTATTAGATTCTTCTTTTGCAGTGCTGTAAGGGAGTGTTTAGCTGAGAGATGTTTCTCAGGCAGCCATCCCTGTTAAACCCGGGTCACTGAGAACTAATTATGGTTTTCGTGGCCTACGACAGGGTTATGATTAACTGCCCTGTATTTCAGGAAGGTTTTGCTAGGTGCAAGTTCATTGTCACTAGACTGGACTAAGGTTTAAAACCGCAGCGGTGTGCTGGTGTAGGGGAGGATCCTTGGACTGGCCCGACCCTCCCTTACCTGCCCAGGAGGGACGGCGTTTGTGTGGGTGGAGCTCTGGGGCTGGCAGCAGACGCCCAGGTGTGTCGGAGAGCAGAGCGCGTCCTGAGCCGAGTCCCACTGTTGACCAGTGCTTGCTTTCTTCTCCCCTGCGTGCCCCCTCAGAATTCTGGAGGCTGCCCGGTGCTCCCACTTGACTGACGCAGGCTTTGCACTCTTGGCTCGGGTAAGGCATAGGATTTACTTATTTATGTATTTGACAGGTAGAACTACAGACAGTGAGAGAGAGAGAAAGGTCTTCCTTCCGTTGGTTCACTCCCCAAATGGCCGCTATGGCTGGCGCACCGTGCCTATCGGAAGCCAGGAGCCAGGTGCCTCCTCCTGGTCTCCCATGGGGTGCAGGGCCCAAGCACTTGGGCCATCCTCCACTGCACTCCCGGGCCACAGCAGAGAGCTGGACTAGAAGAGGAGCAGCCGGGACAGAATCCGGCACCCATGTGGGATGCCAGCACCGCAGGCAGAGGATTAACCAAGTGAGCCACGGCACCGGCCCCAAGGCGTGGGTTTTAAAGAACAAAACCAAACCGTACCTTGCCTCCAGTACTCCAGGTGACTCGGGAGTGGTGTCGGGTGTGCTGCAGAGCACCGCGGGAGAGAGGCACGAGGCAGGACAGGGCCCTCGGTCCCTTAGCCGCCCCGGCAGAGGGCTGTGGCAAGGGGCGAGCCTCCTCCACGCAGTCCCGTGGGACCACCCTGCGCACACGTCCGCCCCGGCAGGAGTGCCCTCCTCACACGGGTGCCGCCTCAGCTGCCCTGCTCTGTCCTCGGCACTGCTCTGGATCGCTGACCACAGGGCCTGCTGCCCAGACCCCGCATCCTGCCGGGGCGCGACGCACTCTTCCTCCTCCCTGCTCCGGTCCCTGGTCCCTGCACCAGCACGAACCTGCCTGTCGCTGAGCCCTGGGGGCCCCAGGAAGGGTGGGCAAGAGGAAGCAGCGTAGCCCAGGGCACCCGAGGCCCTTTCCCAAAGCGACCGTGGCTCAGGGGCATCTGCCGGGAGGTGCCCGGCGCCCAGAGGGTCAGGGCAGGCTCAGGGACATCTGCCGGGAGGTGCCCGGCGCCCAGAGGGCCGGGGCAGGCTCAGGGGCATCTGCCGGGAGGTGCCCGGCGCCCAGAGGGTCGGGGCAGGCTCAGGGACATCTGCCGGGAGGTGCCCGGCGCCCCAGAGGTGCCGGGGCAGGCCTCAGGGGCATCTGCCGGGAGGTGCCCGAGGCCAGAGGGCCGGGGCAGCTCAGGGGCATCTGCGGGAGGTGCCCGGCGCCCAGAGGGCCGGGGAGGCTCAGGGGCATCTGCGGGGAGGTGCCCGGCGCCCAGAGGGCCGGGGCAGGTCAGGGGCATATGCCGGGAGGTGCCCGGCGCCCAGAGGGCCGGGGCAGGCTCAGGGGCATCTGCCGGGAGGTGCCCGGCGCCCAGAGGGCCGGGGCAGGCTCAGGGGCATCTGCCGGGAGGTGCCCGGCGCCCAGAGGGCCGGGGCAGGCCGCGGTGTCGCCCTGCACAGGGTGTGTCCTGTGGGCTCTTTCAGAATTGCCATGACCTGGAGAAGATGGATCTGGAAGAGTGCATCCTGGTGAGGGGCTCCCGAGTGGCCCAGAGCAGCCAGCGACACGGGCACAGGAGCGGGGCTTGGGAGCCCCAGGCCCTTGGCAGTGGGTGTGGCTGTTCCTGGTAACCAACAGAACCACTTGGAGGGAATTCAGCGTGGCTCGTTTTGACCACACACTAACTAAAACAGCATCTAGACTGGAGGGAGAGAGAAGCTTGCGTGTCCAGTGAGAGGACCGCTGCAGAGGGGAGTCCTGGGGCAGCCTCGTTCCCACTCTGTCCCTGTGCCTCTGCCCCTGGAGGTCCCAGAGGAGGGACTGCAGAAGGGTTTGCGTGTCCAGGAGCGGGTGGGCAGGCGAGGCCGGGGCCTGGCGGGAGCCGGGCTGACCCGCATTTCTCTGCAGATCACCGACAGCACGCTGGTCCAGCTCTCCGTTCACTGCCCCAAGCTGCAGGCCCTGGTGAGTCGGAGCCCTTGTGGGGGGTCAGAGGGGGGGAAAGGCCCCTCCCACACGGCCACCCTCGCCACGGTCATCTTGTCGGGCAGTGAACGTCGGCATGTTCGGGTGGTCGCGGTCGAGGCTGTCCTGTGTCCCCTGGCGGTTCCTGCCTGCCCGTGCGCCCTGAGCCTCAGGCACGCTTCCCGTCGCCCCTGCACTGAGCGAACGGGTGATCACGCCGATCCTTGCCCAGTCCAGTCCGGCGGCCACGGCTTGCGCTTACCTGGAGGCCGGCTGTGCGGGGGCCTGGGCTCTCACGGCCTCCCCCGCGGACGAGAGCGCCAGTCTCCCCTCTGCCGGCTTGCTCGGTCCCCAGGGGCTGGAGCGCTGTCCTCGTCCCCATGGCTGGGCTTGGGTGCCTCTGGCACTGTGCCCAGAGTGTGAGGTCGCGGCAGAGCTGCCGCCTCCCCGCATCCTGGAGAGCGCGCGTCTTCACTGCGGGCCCGCTGTGTCCGCCTTCATAACTGACGCGCCCGCCGCTCCGCCTGCCCGCGTCGTGTCCTGTCCTGTCCTCCCAGCTCAGCCGCGAGGCCAGCACCCTGGGACCCCAGCAGGTGCCACTGGGCACAGCGGGCCTTCCATCAGCCCTTGCAGGAAAGGGGCGACGGCAGGAGATAAGCTGGGATAAAAACGGGCAAGTTGGAGTCTGAAAGTAAACCCAGCAGAGCCACGCAGCACCACTGGCGGAAGCGGAGGGGAGCGACTGCGGTTGAAGTCTGCAGGCCTCCGAGACCAGCAGCCCGGACACAGCAGGGCAGTGCTGCGGCTCGCACGCCTCCCCACTCGTGGAGGCCCGCCAGGCCCTGGAGCGGCTCCGTCCTGACTCCGCATCCTGGCCCAGTGGGGTCCGGGAAGGACACTGGGGCGGAGCTGAGGGCAGATTGAGCCGCCCGCTGAGCGCAGCGTGCAGCCTCCGCACTCAGGAGGTTCGAGTCCTCACAGGAGGGTCAGGCAGTGCGGCCCGCGACAGGTGCAGGCGCCAGCTGCTCGGGGAGCCGCAGCCAGGCACCCCCACCCCGCCTCCAGGGATCGCGGGAGGCGGCGCTCTGGGGCCACAGCGCCATTTTGAACTTTATTTAAAGCATGGCAGCAGGAAGAAGTGTGGGGAGGGCCCTGGGCTCCCAGCGGCCCCAGCGGCTCTCTGCTCTCGCCCCCTCGCCAGGAATGGCACCCTGGGCCCCGGCGGCGGGCGGGCCTGCCCCCTCGCAAGGGCAGAACGTGCTGCCCGCGTTTACTGACAAGCGAGTCAGCCGCTCACAGCCCGGGGCGGCGGACTCAGAGGAGCCCGAGGACCTGGCTCACAGGAGGTTAAGGACGCGGTCCCCTGGGCTTGCAGGACGTGTCCCCGGCAGGTGCAGAGGGGCTGCTTCCCCCTTCTAGAGCCAGCGTTCTCAGGCGACTCATTGGTTCTAGGAGCGCTCGAGCAGGGTTTTAGCTGTCAGCCCCATTGAAGGCGGAACACAGCGAACATGGAAGCGCAGTACTTTGTCCGTGCTGGGTTCTGCTGCTGCGGAGCGAGCCTCTCCCAGGAGCCCCCGCCGCCCCGTCCCCTCAGGGTACAGGCACGGGCCTTCCCGGCTGCTGGCCAGCCTGCCTTGGCGATGCAGAGGGCTGACCGGCACCTCCCGGCTCTCCCTTGCCCAGCTTGCAGCCACACCTGGACTTAATGGGTCAGTGTCAGTCACCATTCCCCGCTCAGCTTAAATTCCGTGCCGTTATTCAGCCTTGCCCTTAATCCCCCAGGAGTCACCTTCCTGAGCAAAGCTGTGGTCTTGTTTAAATCTCGCTGAGCCAGCCCTTGAAGCTGGACAAGGGTGAAGGACACTGGCTCTGCTGCGTCCACAGGGCCCTGGCCGGGCAGAAGCCAAGGCTCCGAACTCCACCGCCATCTCTCAGGTGGGCACCACTGCTCCACAGTCTGCTTAACTCGGGCCTGGGCCATCCTCCACTGCACTCCCTGGCCATAGCACAGAGCTGGCCTGGAAGAGGGGCAACCGGGACAGAATCCGGCGCCCCGACCGGGACTAGAACCCGGTGTGCCGGCGCCGCAAGGTGGAGGATTAGCCTATTGAGCCACGGCGCCGGCCCTAACAGCAGCCTTTTATGCTTCCCCTTTGCAGAGTTACAGAGAGGAGAGGCACAGAGAGAGAGGTCTTCCATCCGCTGGTTCACTCCCCAGATGGCCACAATGGCTGGAGCTGCGCCGATCCAAAGCAAGGAGCCAGGAGCTTCATCCGGTCTCCCATGCAGGTGCAGCGGCCCAAGCACTTGGGCCATCCTCCACTGCTTTCCCAGGCCACAGCAGAGAGCTGGATCGGAAGTGGAGCAGCTGGGTCTTGAACTGGCACCTATACGGGATGCCAGCGCTTCAGGCCAGGGTGTTAACCCGTTGTGTCACAGCGCTGGCCCATTAACTGAGTATTTCTTAAAATTCTGTTGTCACTATTGCCTTTTTAGCCCTCTCTCTGTGCACTGATTTTCAGTGGCTGCGCTCTGCACCCCAGGTTGTCAGAGTTCTTTCCGCAAATCCAAAGGCAGCTTTCCTTGGTGGGAACCGAGGTGCAGTCAGACTGGGGGCTCCCAGGGGCTGGACGTGCCCCCTCACCCAGTGCCTTGCACAAGGCGTGGTCAGGGGAGGCCACTTCACATTTCCTCCTGGACCCAAGCGTCAGCGAGGGCCCCGTGGCTGTGGGGGCCTCTCCCAGGAGCCCTGCTGCAGAAGGGTTAGGGTTAGGCAAGGGCTCCTGCCTCAGCGCCTGAAGCACTGCCCGGTCCCCAGCTTGGCCAGCAGGCGCCACCCTCCCCGCTGGGACAGGAGAGGACGGTGCACACCACAGTCCCGGAAGCCGAGGGCTGGGAAACCGGGGCTGCGCAGCTCCCAAATCTGGCAAAAGGCGGAACCTCCAGATTCAGGCAGCTCACCGCACCCAGGCCCGTGTCATCAACCTCCTAAAGACTGAGACGCGGGAACGCTTCGCTGTATGTGGGGGGAGAGCAGCTCCGCTGCCAGCAGCTTTGTCCCGGGAGGGGAGGCCGGGAGCCGCACGGCGTTTCCCAGGTGCTGAAGAACTCTCCGCTGGAATCCCAAACCCAAAGGAGCGCGCCCTCGGAAAGGACCCCCGGGAAACGAAGACTGCCCACAGGTCTACCCCGCTGCTTTTCTGGTTTTTGTTTTTTAAAGAAGTGTTAGAATGTAGAGAGACTGGAACCACAACTGGTGGGAAGTGTAAAATGGGACAGGGGATAAACAGTATGACGGCTTTTCAAAAAATTAAAACAGACCTGGCAGCTGACGCAGCCACCCCGCTTCCTGGTGTGGCCAAAGGAACGGGAGGACGCGGAGAGCTCTGTGCGCGCCCGGCCGTGTTCACGCGGCGCCCGTCATAGCCGCCGGGAGACGGAGGCGACCCAGAGGCCTGTGGGGCGATGGCTGGAGCACAGCCTTCGAGATGGCTTCAGCGTGGATGGCCGTGGAAGGCGTCGGGCTGAGGGGCAGGAGCCCGTCACGAAACACCGCAGCAGCCGGCCTTCCTGGTCCGTGGAGGCCACCGACATGGCTTCAGCACGTTCAGGAAAAAGAAGTGAGCCTGGCTAAGCATGCACAGACCACCTTCTCGCCGTTACTCCCCAAATAGTGCCGCACAGGAGCTAGTCGCCTAGATGGCATTTACACCACGTTTGGTACTTACTGATCACCTAACGGCCTGCGGAAGGCAGTATATAGGCGGTGTGCACCTGTGCCATCTTACGTGACTTGAACATCTGTGGGTGCTGGTATCCAAGGGGGTCCTGGAGCCAATTCCCTGTGGACCCCAAGGGACAACTATGAACTTTCCACACAGTATCTAGTCAAGTTCACAGGCACAGAAATGGAATGGGGGTTGTGCCAGGAGCTGAGGGAAGGGGAAATGGAGAGTGGTTTAAAGGGATAGAGTTCAGGCCGGTGCTGTGGCACAGCGAGTTAATGCCCTGACCTGAAGCGCCGGCATCCCATATGGGCGCCGGTTCGAGACCTGGCTGCTCTACTTCCTATCCAGCTCTCTGCTGTGGCCTGGGATAGCAGTAGAAGACGGCCCAAGTCCTTGGGCCCCTGCACCTGCATGGGAGGCCTGGAGGAAGCTCCTGGCTCCTGGCTTCGGATCGGCGCAGCTCCGGCCATTGCGGCCACCTGAGGAGTGAACCAGCGGATGGAAGACCTCTCTCTGCCTCTCCTCTCTGTGTAACTGACTTTCAAATAAAAATAAATCTTTAAAAAAAAAGGGAGAGTTCGAGGTTTACAGTATGAACAGATTTGGTAGATTCATTGCATGGTGTGAACGACTTGACAGTACTGAGCTGTACACTTCATTTTTTAATGTTTACTTTCATCTTCTTGAATGTAGAGAGAGAGAGAGAGATCTTCCATCTGCCGGTGCACTCCCCAGATGCCTACGACAGCCAGGGTGTCCCACGTGGACGGCAGGGACCCAAGTACGTGAGCCACGAGCTGCCGCCTTCCGGGCGCACATGAGCAGGAAGCTGGGCCAGGAGTGGAGAGGCCCTGAGGTGGGACGAGGGGGACCCACGCGGCAGCTGACCTGGCTGTGCCACAGCCCCACCCCGGAGTGCATCCCCAGAAGTGCTAGAGACGGTGATCGGCAAGAGAACAGGAGGACTTCTGAACACCTGACCTCCGGCCCAAACCTGGCCAGGACCTTCATCCGCGTCTCCCGCGTGGGTGGCAGGGAAAACACGGGGCCGTCCTCCCCGCCTTCCCAGGCCACAGCAGGGAGCTGGATGGGAAGTGGAGCAGCCGGGACTGGAACCAGCACTCGCATGTGATGCTCGCATTGAGGGCAGTGGCTTAACCCACTGTGCCACAGCACCAGCCCCAGAGGGCAAGTTTTTTAAAATTAAGTTCAACTACAACAACAAAATTTTTTTTTTACAAATATTAAAAAAGTTCGAAATGAAAATGAGGGTACTTCAAAAGTTTGTGGAAAAATGTTAATTTCTGAAATCTGTTGTAGCCTTTTCATAATACATATTTCCATGGAATTTTTGAACCCAACATACACCGCGGGAAAATTTACTGGGTACAGCTAGAGGGCTGCTCCCGGGGAAACTTAAAGTGTTCAGGGTACAAAGCAGAGCTGGCGTTTCGCTCTGGCTCCTGACTCCGGCTTCCTGCTAATGCACCCTGGGAGGCAGCAGCGACGGCTCAGGTAACAGGGTCCCTGCCACCCCCACGGGAGGCCTGGACGGAGTCCCGAGTCCCGGCCGCGGCCTCGGCCCGGCTCCAGCAGTCAGAACTGTAAGGTCACGTCCTCCCCGGAACTTCCCCGTGCTTCGGAATCGATGGAAGCTCCTTCCCGTGCCGCACCAGGCTGCAGCCTGGCCCCATTGCCGCAGCTCCACGGCACCCAGGGGCGTCGCCTCCCTCCCCCACCGGGCGTGCGGGGTCCTCACCGTTCCTCTGCCACACGCCTCCTAGCCCTTTGGGTCAAACCCCACCACTGCATGCGCCCACAGCACGCGTGTCGCTTAGGTCTACGAGTGGAACCAGTGCTCGTCCACGTCTCGTCTCGTCCACGTCTCGTCTCGTCTCGTCGGGCCAGCCACCGTGCTGAGGCAGTGTTTCTCCACGCCATCTCACCAGGGGCTGGCACAGCTGGCACTTGTGTTGGGAGGGATGCATGGCCCGGGTGGTGCTGCCTCTGAAGAGCGTTTATGGTGGGGTGACTGTCCCAGCGACATGCTCTGAAATGTACTGATAGAATGACGGAGATGTCGTTCAGCTATACATTAGTGCAAACTTAATTTTGGCGACTTGAGTGCCTACCCAAGAGGCCAGTGATTTCAGATCCCATGGCTCCAATTCTATGTGACTATAACCTTCAACGATGCTGGCACTGGAGCCGTGGCTGTTGGCATAATTTCCTCGCTGATCTCTCGGAGAATAGGGCAATAAAACTGCTCTCAGCCAGCGCCGCGGCTCACTAGGCTAATCCTCTACCTTGCAGCGCCGGCACACCGGGTTCTAGTCCGGTCGGGGTGCCGGATTCTGTCCCGGTTGCCCCTCTTCCAGGCCAGCTCTTTGCTGTGGCCTGGGAGTGCAGTGGAGGATGGCCCAAGTGCTTGGGCCCTGCACCCCATGGGAGACCAGGATAAGTACCTGGCTCCTGCCATCAGATCAGCGCGGTGCGCCAGCTGTGGCGGCCATTGGAGGGTGAACCAATGGCAAAGGAAGACCTTTCTCTCTCTCTCTCTCACTGTCCACTCTGCCTGTCCAAAAAAAAAAAAAAAAAAAAAAAAAGGAAAGAAAAAAAAACTGCTCTCAAAGAAAACTCCAGAATGTGTCCCTGGAAGGTTTACCACCACCTTCATGTGAACTGAAAAGGTGGGTGCAGCCACGCAGTAATGCAGTAATGCAGACTCCTACGGCCCGGTCTCGGCTCGCTCGGTGCTGTAACAGAACACCACAGACCGTCATTTCTAACAGAATTTCGGTTCTGAAGATCGAGGGGCCAGCATCTGGGGAGGGCCAAGAGGAGGCCAGCGGGCGAGCAAGGGAGAGGGACAGTCTGTAGCTTGAAACCCTTCAGAAACTGGCGTTGACCCACTCGTGCCCTAGACACATACCGGGCCCCACTGGCCGGCGCGTGCCTTTGAGCGGCCGCAGTGAAACCGCAGCGAGCAGTTCCTGGGGCACCGGCCAGGCCAGCTTCCCTGGGCGCTGGGCGCTGGGCCTGGGGGTGAGTGAGGCCCAGCAGACATCTCCCCCCCCCCTTCCAGAGCCTGTCCCACTGTGAGCTCATCACGGACGACGGGATCCTGCACCTGAGCCACAGCGCCTGCGGCCACGAGCGGCTGCGGGTTCTGGAGCTGGACAACTGCCTGCTCATCACGGACGCGGCGCTGGGGCACCTGGAGACCTGCCGCGGCCTCGAGCGCCTGGAGCTCTACGACTGCCAGCAGGTCACCCGTGCCGGCATCAAGAGGATGCTGGTAGGCTGGGGCGCGGGAGGGGCCGCGGGGTCGCTCTGTCCTCATCACATCTGCCCATTCAGGTGGCACCCGGGGCTTCTCCAGAGCTCCCTTGTCAGACCCAGCCTTGCAAGGACAGGGTGGTCTACAGCAAAGGAAGCAACCCGGGCCACTCCCAGGAGGCGGCGGCAGATCGTGCGGTCTAGCTGACTTCCATCATTTTCTTGACCAGCCTTAACAGCTCTGGCACTCACATCCGGGGTGCTACACCCAGGGCCGCTAGGAGGTGCTGGGCTGGCTTCTGCCCCGACTTGGGGCACAGGGGCTGAGATAGCCTGCAGCAGAAATGCTACCGGATCAGTCTGCCTCCTGACACTGAAGTGCAGCCCAGGCTAACCGGGTGCTGCACACTGAGGCGTCCGTCTAACCTCGGTCCTGAAGCTGCCAGCGTAACGGCCCCTCCGCTCTCTGCACCCAGGCCCAGCTCCCTCATGTCAGAGTGCACGCCTACTTTGCTCCCGTCACCCCCCCCCCCCCCCCCCCGCGGCAGTGGCAGGCGGCGGCCAGCGGCTGTGCAGGTGCTGTGTCGTTCTCTGAGCGGGTCTTCCGAGCGGCTGCACCCTCCCCACACCTCCTGACTCTCCACTGGGAAAGTGTTTGCAGGTAGACTTCCGTATGGTGGCAGTAACGTGGCCATGGCGCTCACCTTCACTGCCCGTGACGCAGTCCACCGGCAGCCTTGGCGGTTAGCATGCGCAGGAGCAGCGTCAGTGCGGCCGAGACCAGGCAAGGAGCCGGGATCTCTTTCAAGGTGGACACCTCCGGAAGTCCCACCCTTGGCGCTTCCAGCATTTCTCAGACCACCAGTGTCGGCACAGATTGAGCAGAAAAAAGCAGCTGTGGACTTCGACCTGCCACCTAAGCCAGGGGCCTGCTGAAGCCCGCGACTCCGCTGTGATGCGCACGACTTGGGCAGGTGGCTGCACTGCCTGGATTTTATGTTAAGCCTTAGATGGAAGGCACGTAACAGGTCTCCATGAGACACCAAAGAAATGAGGTGGAGCAGGGTCTTCACCGTTCTGTTTCTGTCACCTTGTCATCAACTCCTCCAGGGGACAACAGTGTGTGTGCTGCCTGACAAGAAACTAAACTCTGCAAGATGCTACAGCACAGAATGCATTTTTGCTAAAAGGGAAAAAAGCTAATTATTTCCACACTTCTCACAAAATTTAGGGGACCTGAAACAGAATCAAGACTTAAGTTATCTATAATATTATCAATTAAAATAACGAGTGGATGCCTGTAGAGCGGGTGTGATTTTTTTTTCAAGTTTATTTTAAAAATCTTAGAAATCAGGTTACACCAGAACTATTCCAACTTTACACTTTAAACTCAGATCAGTAAAGTGTTGGCACCTTTTAAACTGATAATATAAAAATGAATACACCATTGCAGTGCTTAGAAAAATCAGGTCGGAGGGTTTATTGCTCTTACGACAGACATCTCTCCAAGCCCAGCCTTCCGAACGGCGCCTGGTGCCCTTCTCTGTGGGTCGCTGCACCGTGCTCTCCACGTCTGTGGCGCTCACTCCGGGGTGAGCTGGCCATCGGGGCGCACGGGAAGCTCGAGTGAGACAGCAACACCAAGGTTTGTCCTGGGACTCGCCAGCGCGTCCAGAGGATGGACAGTGTGGAGGCAGATGTGCTCCGAGTCCCGCAAACTCGGCGGGGCCATCAGGTACGCGCTGAGGTCGATGATTTTTATTGCTTTATGATAGAAACAGCTGGCTGAAATACGCATGTTATACCACGCCTGGGAGTGGGGGAAGACTGGCCAGGAAGCCATTTCGGCAAACAAATAGGCTTATGAGAGACTGCACTTGTGTGACTCCCAATTACAGTTCCTACCTAAGACTTAGCGCCAGCGACAGCAGCCTCGGGACCTACCCCGGCTTCGAGGCTCCAGCTCAGTGGCTCAGCACCCCGCCTGCTTCCTCTCCAAGGGTGGACCGGGCCTCGGCTGCATCCACTTTGAGAAAATAAACCGAAAACGCAAAACAAGCCATTTGGGCCTAACTCAGCATTCAGACTGGCATATGCTCAGCACACACACAGGGCGCCCCTTGGTTCTGTGACTCGAGGTGTCATCAACAGGAACTGAGACACATTTGCAAAACAATCAGAAAACATTTATTATACTGAAATGTGTACATCCTACCATTAAAAAACAGAGTAGCAAATCTGCTGGTGCCCTAATTTATCTGAGCCTGCTCCACTGGGACAGACTTGTGTTCAACGCTTCCAGCGTCATTCCCGGCTTGACGAGCTCGCGGTGTCTGTGCTGCCGCGTCTGACCCTGGCGAGGGTTCCGGCGGCACAGTGTGGGCGCCATCCCTGCTCCACTGGGAATCAGGGGCCCGAGGGCAACACCGGCAGACCAGGAGAGGGCAGCTCGCCTCCTGTGGGGCCCACGGGCGGAGTTCAAATCAGAGATGCAGACAGGAGACCGCTCCCTCGCAGCAGAAAATGAACCCCCTTCAGGAAGAGAACTGGAGATGTCCCACGTGTTGCACCCACTGAAAGGTTTGTCTTCTGGGAGATTTCAAACTCAAAACTACTGTATTTCCACCTGAACAAAGATGAGGACCAACACCTGGATAGACGGACCAGCGATGCTACGATCAAAGTGGGAGTAGAAAACCAAAACCAGACCCTCAGCCTGCTCCACCACAGCCTCCAACCTCTCTGTGAGGACCTCGGGGGAGGGAGCAAGTAGCAGGGGAAGAACGAGGACAGTAGTTTCCCCTGAGGAGCATGCGAGCAGGCCAGCATTTGGTTTATGCAAGAGGCACTCTATGGAAAGGGAGCTGTTACGGTGCGTAGAGGGCCCCAGACATCCCCAGACGTTCATCGTGACTGTGCTAAAGCTCAACGGTTGTGAAGATCTCCTGGGTATCTTAGTGTCGATTCGTGACGTCTAGTGTTTCCATGAGTCATTTCATGTGTTCTAACACCAAATCAGAGGCTGTCAACAACCACACTTCCTTGCTCTCACACTGCCCATTTCCAGTGTCTGCCGTGTGGGGGCGGAGAGAGGGAGGGAAATAAGAAAACCACATGAATGTAAAAATCAAGGAGGCTTCAAAAAATGAAAACCAGAAACTAAAATGCTAAAAATGGAAGCAGAAGCACAAAGTTTCTCCATAAATCTGTGACAAAGCAAAAACACAAGTCTTTGTACCTATTAGGATTTACACTGATCCTCTCACCAAGGTACTCGGAAGATGCCGTGGCTTCAAGCCCGCCTTCCCAGCTGGGTCTCCCGGATCCGCACGCTCACGTCAGACGCAGACAGGACTCCTGAGAAGACGCCGAGCCGCTCCCCGGCCACCGTCGCAGCACGCGCCTCTCCACAGGCAGGTTCCCGCGGGCTGCACACAGCACTGGCCCCAGCCCTCCCCAGGCCAGCGCGAGGTTCAGGCAATGAAAACCAAACTGGCACAGGAAGGTAAATGCCCACAGTAAGTGTTTACATTCAATTCCAAACCGCACACAGTGTAACACGACAGCAGGGCTGCTTCCAGGGCCGCAGTCACTGGCCTCTACGGCACGCTGTCCCGCCAGCTCCCGCGTGCGGTGCTCGGCCCCGGCAGTGAGCGAGGAGACGTGCCTCTCGTACGGCTCCTTAGAAGGGTCAGCTTGTGTTTTCAATATGAAACATTTCATCTGGTAAAAATCCAATCCCAAGGCTTCTTGGATTCAGTCTTCACACACTTCTAAGCATGACTATTTGGTACTGAATTATAGTTCAGAATACGTAAGACATCACTTCAAAATTATGTGGATACCGTCATTATTTTCAGCTGCAGAGAAAGGAGAACAGTTGTCACGTGTAACCAGGCTCAGGAAATCCAGCTCCTGAACGGAAAACTCGCATCTGCAAGCTCCCGCGTCCATGGGGGGATGGGGGGGGGGTACTTCCAGGGAGAAGGCTGCCGGCACCTGCCGCCGCCACCTGCAGAGCAGGTGGAGGTGCTGGACGCAGCACACACCCGTCTGCTGGAGAACACGGGAAGGCCTCAGAGACGGATTCGAAACATTTAAAAACATCATTGCCACTTCCGCCTGATGCCTCAGTAAACAGAAGCACTACAGGAATGCTAAGTGACTGCTGAGGAGGCCCAGTCTGAACAGCACCAAACCGGGAGTGGAGAGGGATCCCACACTGACAGCGCCCACTCTCCTGCTCCTCCTCCATCTGCTCTCCCCACTAGAGGGGGAGGCCCACGGGCTCTTTAGTTCCCCTGCCTGTGCCTCCCCTCCCCAGTCAAGACCAGAAGCGCAGGGTCTGACACCAAGCGCTCAGCGAGACGCTGACTGCGACGCCCGGGTCCCACAGGAAGACTGCCTGCCTTACTGGCCAGCTAAGTGCTGCTACACCACAAACAGTCTGATGTACCCCTCCAACCCCTGTTGTCACAGTAAGGCCTGCACTGCCGAGAGCAGACACACTTGGAAGCACACTGCTGTTTAAGACACACAACATGTGAAGTACCTTTTACTGTGGAGAACAAAAAACAACTCTCATCTTGAAAGTTCTGAACCATCTAGAAAAAAGCAGATGTGTAAGATCCAGCTGTCCTTAACAGAAATTACTTTAGTTAAAAGGAAATACCATAAACTATATATTATTCTTTCAAACACAGAACTCAGCAGCCAAGATAATTCACAAAGGCAGTGTGAGACAGTGAAGCTTGAGGCTGCAGGTGCTGTGAACCCTGACAGAGTGGCGTGCGGTGCTCTGCTCCTGTTACTTGGTTGTGGAAGGCACTGTACTTCTTACATGACTTTTAAAACTGCCATTAAGTAACAAAGGGAAAATAGCCAAAGCCCACAGCTAAGCTCACGCCAGAGCTCACGTGAGCGTGGGGAACTTGCCAGCTTGCCTTGTACCCCTATCACGAGGATGACTGAAATTCTTTTGGTTGTAAATTCTTACAGTTCGGGACTAGTGTTGCGGCCCAGTGGGTTCATAAGCTGCTGCCTGCAATGCTGGCATCCCATACTGGAGCACCAATGTGAGTTCTGGCTACTCTGCTTCCAATCCAGCTCCCTGTACTATGCCTGCGAAAGCAGCCAGAGGATGCTGGGCCCCCGCCACCCATGTGGGAGACCAGGACGGAGGGCCAGCCTCCTGCCCAGCCCCAGCCGTTGGCAGCCGTGCGGAGAGTGAATCAGCAGAAGGAAGATTTGTGTGTATGTAACTCTGCCTTTCGAATACATAAAATCTTTAAAAAAATTTACACTGTGAGTCAACTTTTTGAAAATGATTCTCCTGAGTTAATTTTTTGACAGGCAGGTGGACAGTGAGAGAGAGAGACAGAGAGAAAGGTCTTCCTTTGCCGTTGGTTCACCCTCCAATGGCCGCCGCGGCTGGTGCGCTGCGGCCAGCGCACCGCGCTGATCCGATGGCAGGAGCCAGGAGCCAGGTGCTTCTCCTGGTCTCCCATGGGGTGCAGGGCCCAAGCACTTGGGCCATCCTCCACTGCACTCCCGGGCCACAGCAGAGAGCTGGCCTGGAAGAGAGGCAACCGGGACAGAATCCAGCGCCCCGACCGGGACTAGAACCCGGTGTGCCGGCGCCGCTAGGCGGAGGATTAGCCTAGTGAGCCGCGGCGCCGGCTCTCGTGAGTATGCACAAGAGGTCTACATGACGGCAGAGGACGGGCAGGCGGCAGGCGTGTCTGCTGTACCTGGTCGCTCACGAGGACGTGGATGCCGGTGGGGCCTTGTCTGTAAACCTGGCTAATCCTGTGGAACGGGAGATCGAACACCAGCGCGAGCTTCCGAGCAACTTCCGAGGCGACCATTTCCTCCAAGTAGATGGCGTGGTAAACTGAAACAGAGGGCACGGCCTTCAGTCTTTTCTAGCTGATCTGCAGGAAGGGCACATCTGCCAAAGCTCCGAAACAGTAAGGGAATTCGAGAACACGGAGCGAGCGGGCACTCAGCTTAGCAGCCTAGAGCAGAGTGCTGGGTTCAGTTCCCGGCTCCGCTCCGGACTCCAGGTTTCTGCTGATGCTCAGCCTGCAGGCAGCAGTGACGGTGCGAGAATCGGGTCCCTGCCACCCACGTAGGAGATCTGCACGGGGTCCTCCCCAGCCTTCGAGGAGTGAACCAGCAGATGGGACCGAGGGGAGCTCTGTGTGTCTTCCTCCGTCTCTGCCCTGAACGGTAACACACACGGATCTGGCTGCACAGAGGCATCTGTCTGCACATCTCAGGCACCACCGACTCATTCTTGGCGTAACGGGGTTTCACGGTATTGTACATTACACCTAAAGAAAGCTTTATTCTAAAAGTTATTGCATTAATATATAAAAACCACTAAGAGTCATGGGTTTTTGATCTAGTAATCCTGCTGTTGAGATTTACCCTAAGGAATAAAAATCTATCTTGTACCTACACACTCAGAAAAAAATAGAAGACACCACATGAAACCTGTGGGTACAGATAATGACTCCCAATTCTTTATACAAAGTTGCAGGCCTGGTCCGGGGGTGCTGGGCACCTCACTGGAAGCTGGTGCGTCTCAGGCTCACAGCCCACCCACCCCCCACTTACTACTGAGCCACGCAGACGGGGGTCGGGAACAGCCAACCAAAGGGTTTTTCCCTGGCTTCACAGGAACACGACTGTAGACAACTCTGTTAATCAGACACTAAGATGGGCTTAGAATCTGGAACTAAAATTAGGTTGAGGCTACAGAGCTGATTCCAAACTACAGCCTACATGGGCCAGGTCCTGCTCTGTTTTTACTAGTTTTAAGGACACGCAGCCACACCCGTTATTCATGTATGGCCTATGGCTGTCAGCAATAACAGTCCTGAATATTTACTACGTGCGTGGCCTTTTAAAGAAAAAGGTTGATGACCTTTGATCTCAGGTCTCCAATACGTCTACAAATTGCTCCAAAAACACTCATGTTTGAGGAGTCGCCTTCTAGAATGTAGACTTGACAGAGTAAACAACGTGTAGAACTTGGTAGTTTTAAGATTAAGTTTAGACCACAGAGTATTTCCCAGAGCTGGTTACTGTCAGGGGATTTACGTGCTCTCCGAAACGCCCTGGGCCTGCTGCCTTCACTCAGGTGTGGCGATGTGGGAGGAGCAAATGCCACCACGTGCCCCTCTTAGAAACAAGAAACACACTTCTAGTGGCACAGAGAAGGGAGACGCGGCTCTGCCCGAATGCAGCACTGCAGTGTACAATTAAGAAAAACTCAGCTTTTTTTTTTTTTTTTTTGAGAAGTCCTCCCAATACTGAGATGGGGGAGAAAACATGCAGAATGCATTGATAATGACACTGGACACAGCACCAGAATCACCGCATGCAAAGCTCAGAGTGCTGGTCACTTAGCTAAGTCTACACACGGCGACGACTGGTTTTATAGACTGATTTACTTGAAAGGGGGTGGGAGACAGAGAGAGGAAATGCATGCTTCCATCCACCTGTTCTTTTCCCCAAATGGCTGCAACAGCCTAGGCTGAAGCCTGGAAGCCAAGAACTACCTGGGTCTCCCCTTAGGGTGTCAGGGGTCTAAGCACTTGGGCCACCATCTGCTCTTTTCCCAGGTATAAAAATCTTGGATCATTAGAAATACAAGTCATTTTAGGGGTGGGCTTTCCCAGGCCCAGTAGGAGGGAGCTGGATCAGAGGCAGAGCAGATGGGACTCCGACTGGAATGCTGTTGTCAAGTGACAGCTTAACCCGCTGTGCCTGCCACGTGGGGTGTTTTAAAAGTGTTTTCCTGGTAATGTGCACCACGGGGAGCAGTAAGTGATGGCAAGTGCTGGGTCTCTTCTACCCACGGGGGAGACACAGATGGTCTGGGCTTCTGGCTTTGGCCTGTTCTGGTCGCAGATGCTGTGGGCATCTGGGGAGTGAACCAGCAGATGGGCAATCTCTGACACCCTCTCTGTGCCTTTCAAATAAACAGAAAACCAAACCAGCGATCCCTGGTGTTGCTGAAGTAACAGGCTGCTAGCTTCCCCTTCCCCCAGGACGTGGCCCTAGCAGCACTGCCTCCTACTGCTGTCAAAACTTCACCACAGCCTCCAGACAGTCCTAATGCCGCCGGAGCTCTGCAAAGCATGACCCAAGTCCTCCCCGTCCGACAGAACTGAGACGCCCTCGATACCCACCGTAGGGTGTCCCACTGCCGTTCTCGCCTCCGCCACCCGCAGCTGGCGGCTGCCCTCGCAGGGCTGTGCTGCGTGGTTGCTCCTGGCACACATAGATGGTCAGACGGGGCCTGACTGACCTGCAAGTCAGAAGATGCCAATTATGAGCCCCGGAGGGACAGGGGCCCTACCCTAGGACAACTACAGGAATCTACGTTCTATCTCCTTATGAGAACTTTACAGTGTTATTTCATTACACAAAATAATTTATGAATAAAAATATAAAAACCACACACCTCACACCAACTATCACAGGTGGTCTAACATGATGATCCAGACTAAACCATTGAGATGGCCTGTCAGATGCAGTTAAGTCAGCAATTTAAAATCAGTAAGATTCAATGTTAATGGGATTCTCACACCACAAGTCTAGAAATGCAATGATAGTAAATGGATCTTAACAAAGTCAGCACTGTTCACAGTTCTATGATTTTAATTCACAATTAGAAGTTGACATTTTAATAACTGTTCAGTAAGTCACGACCTTGAAAACCATAGATTCTGTAGAGCTCACCTAAATTAGGAGTTTTGTTTTCTTGGCAACAAACCCAGCCGTCTTCAAGAAATCAGTCCTGCCCATGTGTATTTCTACCAGTCTTACAGTCTACCTCTGCCCTCATCA